AACTTGGTAGAGACGACCCTCTGGGGAGAAGATCGTCGTTCGACTATCGTATCTCCTAGACATGTTTAGTTACAACTGGCAGATAATAGGAAGAAGTAGGATAAGTGTAACTCCTCATGTCCAAGAAAATGGTTGTACACTAAGCAGTCAACTCAAACCAAAGATATCACGAAAGTTAAAGCAGGTCAACTATAAGGGCATGGAACAGGGGCGGGTCAAGGTAGTTGATCTTAACAAGTTAACAGAAGCACTGAATTCAGAAACAGCAGATGCAGCTCATCGCCAATGCGGAAAAAGAACAAAGTTTTTTTTGCTCGGGCATAGCAACCCTGAAAGAGAATTCTCAGAGACCTCCAAGACAAGGTAAAGTCGCGCATGAAATCTTTACCGATAAGCGAAAGGCGACAGCATCGATCTGAAACCCTAGAATATCCAAATTTCGACCGAGCCCAAGAAATTCCCACAAACATCCAATTAAAACTGTGGTCTGTGGGTATCGGGGACGGATCTCAGGATGCTTAATAAGGCTTCCAAATCCAACAAACACAATTCGGATAAATGCACTGCAGAGAACACAAAGAAGAGGCAAACATCATCTTAACGAGACATACCTTCGAATTCTTCTAGATCTCAAAGCGGCGGCGGGGAAGAGTAATTAGGTAACAGCGCCGGGGATTCGCGAGGCGGCGGAAAGCAGTGGGTTGCTCAAGTGTGATGGACGGAAAATTAGCAATACTGGAATAAAACCAGCGGATTGCTTAAGCGCCGGCGATTCACGATACTGGAATGTAAACGGGATTTCTTGAAGAGAAGGTCAGGGAAGTATTTTCTCGCTAGAGAGAAGAATTACATTTAAAGCCCCAATATTTTAGAAAACTCACCATCTGAGCCTTGTAGACAGTTTAGTGATATTGCAAGAATATAATTCTATAGGCTCGTGAGCGGCTCGGCATTCGACTCGAAAAAATATCATTCGAAATTCGACTTGTTTATTAATGAGTGGAGCTTGACCTTAGCCTTTTCCAGCTCGGGGTGCTCGCGAGCTAGCACGATTCGGGGATTTGTTGAGCTCAACTCGTGAGCTGGCTCACTTAGAGCTCATGAGATGTCTCAACTCTCAACATTGTGGCTATAGAGCCAACTCGATTACCGAGTTATGATTGAATTTATTTATATGAGTTTGATTTTAATAATTTCGAGGATTTTTAAATCATATATCTCACCATATATGAAGTTTAACACGTAATTTTCACTAGTTAAAATTTACTAACTAAAGACTTTGATACCACAAATTATAACATGAGATTAGTTAATATTGATATGAACAAGGGATTGGTCTAGTGGTAATACCACTAGCCATGAACTTGGAGGTACCAGGTTTGAATCCCTTCAGTAGTACCTAATAACAAAAAAAAGTAACCTATCACCCTTATCTAAAAAAATAGATTAGTTAATACTGAACACTTAACTATTATTATATTTTTTTCATCTTGACATTAATCACATGTATCATGTATAACATACAAAATGAATATATCTAGTAAGAGTCAAGATTTTCTTAAGCAAGCTAGCTCGAACTCGACTCGATGAGCTCGAACTCAAGTCGTTTATTAATGAGCCGAGCTCAAACTGGGGTAAAACTTGACTCCCTCGCCCTACTCAAATCTCAAAACGTCTCTCTTTCAATATGTTTTTGTTTGTATTTACAATTTTGTATATTAATTTTTCAGGTCATCGAATTTACACAAATCTCGCCGTTTCGATGGCGTCCATGATCGCTGAGTTTCGCAACTCTTAGATGACGAGCTTGCAGCAGAGCAACCCCGACTGATTCCCCGCTCCCTTTTTGTTGCTCTATGAGAAGGAAAAAGAAGAAGAAGAAGAAGAAAAAAACTCAATCCAGGTTATTTTATTTTTCCAAATTAACATCTTTACAGATCATTGATCCTCGACAACCAAACAAAACATTAAAACAACGATGAATATTGAAAACATAGAGCGAAGCTACAAAGGGACACTAGAAAGCAAGAAATAATTGCAAGCATGCACTACGCTCAAATAAGTTCGGAAAACATAGAAATCATTGCCTTGGATCTTGGGTTAAGCTCCATTTCTTGCTATTCTTCTTGTTCTTGATCTTCTACCCACCTCTGAACTCTGCTTCCTCTGTTTTTGTGCTTTGACTTCTTTGAAGCATGATTGTCATTTCTAGAATGCCCAAGGGGAAAGGCAAGAGAACCGATTACAAGAGAAACAAAAAATTTTGAGGGAGATGATAATATATAAGTCATTGTTGAAGAGGCAGGGGGCAAGCCAAATGTGATCAGTCAACATCGTACTGCCTAGCATTGACACATGTCCCCACATGGAAACAGAGTATATAATACAAAAGCAAAAAACCAAGAGCAGCATGCATGATTCACATAAAATTGTAAGAAAGAAGTTTAGGCAAATAAAGAACATGGGGAAAATGCAGATCATTGTTTTATTTACTGACTTGCAACAAAGCTTGTCATGGGGGAAATACACCTCACATTCAAGCCACTCCGTTGAAGAGAGCCTCTCATTGCAGAGTTTGCCGGCGGTTTCTGTAGCCAAGGAGAATACCACATCGGTGACGATGCAATTCGACTGCCACTTCTAGAGGAGATCCTTAAAGGGCCGTTGGTAGACAACCATAGACTTGAAGAACGGGATAATGAGGTCGGGGACCTGATGGCATGGATGTTCTCGCAACCTTTCGGCAGCCCTACCTCGGCATAGGGGAATTGGATGATGTGGGGTTGGATTTGAAGGCCCAATTGATAAGTATTTTTATTATTTAATTAATTTTTATTAAATAATTAATATGATAAAGAATGAAGATAAAGTAAGTGGAATGATGAGGTGGAAAAATAAATTTATTTTTAATTTCCACGTTATTTAGTTAACTGTCAAACTTTATAGTCGACTGCCACGTAGGACAAATTTAACGGAGTGTAACAAATGGTGACTAACAGTAAAATGATTCATAAAGTTAGTGGCGAATAAGAAATAAAAGTAATTCAAGCGGATGGTGGATCAGTGCTTAGGACCAGCCACGTTAAATGGGATCTCCTAAGTATCATCAACAAGCGCATACTCCGGTGGGAAGATCTTTTCCCACGTAGTAATCTTGTACGACCAGTCCGCGGGCATGAAACCGGGCGTCGAGGTGGAGGGCGTGGCTGATTGAGGCGTCCTCTCTAAAGCAAAAATCGAAAAGGGCGCCCTCACCTTAGCGGGCATTGAAGAGTAGAAAGAAGGCGGAAGTTAATACAGAAGTTTCGAAAAGGCGCTTACAAGAGTTTCTTTGGGCGCCTGCCGCTGGGACTAAGCTCGCGGGGGGAGCCTGATCTTGGGGAGTCGACATCGTGGAAGAGATGCAGATGGACGAGCGAGGGTTGGCGTCGGCCGGTAGAGAGAAGGCAGAGCAAAAGTGAGATTAGGGGGGGAAGTGAGTCAAATGAGAGGGCACGAGTAGCATTTATAAAAAAAGAGAGGAGAGCGCACCTCGAGTTCCGAGCGGGGAGTGGGATCGCATCTCGGAAGGCGTGCAAATTGCCACGTGTCGCCATAAATTCAAAATTCAAAATTTTCAAGAAATTCAAATTTTGAAGTTTGAGGGGGGCGCGTGTGGATATCGAGGCCAGCCGCCTGGAAGGTCTAAGACGTCCAAAAGATCGAGGCGCCTGTTATGGAGGAAAAAACCATGCAACGGGCTTGGGCTTCAAACGTCACGGATCAAGAGGAAAAGTTATAAGGCGTTCAGAGTCCTAGGCGCCTGTTTGGGAAACGGAAAACGTGTGATATGCTAGGGAAAGTGGGGGGCAATTTATGGGTGCCCTAATCGATGGGTTAGCTTATAAAAAGAGCCACCAAAGGGTCTAGGCACCTGGGGTGAAATGAGAAGCCTTACGAGCACACACGCTCATGAGCGCCACGACACAGATTTCCCAAAAGATCACGATTGTTATGATGAAAGGGGAAAGTTTCCTAAAGGCGCCCCGGTTGGTATGGTGAACATCGAAAGGCGTAGTTAGGCGCTCAAAAAGGGCCTTGAGCACCTAACTGGGGGGCAATTGTTGGGGGTATGACTTAGGAGGGAAGCCCAAGTCCAAGCTAAGGAAGGGCTACGGGCCCAAATAACGTTCAGAGCCGAAGATAGCCGTTGGAGAAGCCCGGTGGACCATACCCAAACAGGATTGAAGGGGTTCTGACACGCAACAAGGAAGTACAGATTGACAGTGGTCCCTAAAGGGGGGGCGCCTACAGCTTGTCAGAAGTCTGACAAGTTGGTCGGGGCGCCTAGCCTAAACAAAGTACGATGCATTTAATGGCGTGCTGACGTGGAGTAGAGAGGTAAGAGCATGGTCCCAGGTTGTGTAATTATAAATAGTGCTGGTAGGTAACATTTAAGGGAAGCTTCTCACACTGGAAAACCGGGAGGGACTACTTCTCTCTAAAAGATATTTTACTAACTTGAGCGTCGGATGACTTACGGGCTAGACGCCCACCTCTATGTGTGTGGTGTGCAGACAAGGCGCTCGAGTGCGGGGTAGAGTGACTTGGCACAGAAGTAGGGTCATTCAGGCTCGAACAACTAACAATCCTTCAAAGTGTGTTATTAAAGCCGAGCCGAGCCGCTCGGCCCGACCAGTAAAACCGCCACCCCGTCACAAAACCGGCTCGGAACAGTCTAAAAGCCGCTCCGATTTATGTAGCGGTTGACGAGCGGCGAGGCGGTTAACCGCTCGAGCCGATCGAGCCGCTCGTCCGGTTTTTCCCATTCAGCCGTTTATTTCCATTTCACAATTTCGAAGGAAAGAGACAAGCTCTGATTAAGAAATGTCCACTATTTATACTGATAACGTTTATTAGATACCGGTTCTCTAACGGTTTTTAAACGGTCCAACGCCGATTGAACCACTAAAGTGCGAGCCGTTCGCATTACCGGATCATGCTCCGGTTCGGTTCGTACAACATTGCTATCAAACCCCTAAGAGTGACAATTTATCTTAAGACGCCGGCTTTGGCAACCGGGAAACCCCTGGCGACTCTCAGTTTCGGAACCATCAATCTCATCGCCGGAGAATCCCGAAGCCAGAATGCAGAACCCCCGCAAGAGAAAGCAACCGCCAAAGCAGCTGAAGCCCCAAAGTGAACCCAAATCGTCGAAACTCACCAAGGAGCAACAAGAGCCATACCCGACTCACCTTCGGCCCACCCCTGGAGATTGCCGCGCCATTCGAGACTCCCTTCTTGCTCACCATGGCTTCCCGCCGGAGTTCGCCAAGTATCGCCGGGGGAGACCAAGCCTGCGCCCAGATGACGATGACGACAAGTCCATAAACAGCTTGGAAAAATCGGTAGCATCGTTGGACAGTGAGGAAGTGGAAGAGAGCGTTTTGGATGGTCTGGTGAAAATGGTGCTCTCTCAGAATACTACTGAGGTTAATTCTTTAAGAGCATTCTCCAATCTCAAATCTGCTTTCCCCTCTTGGGAAGATGTAAGCCCTTTCTCGTTCTTGTTCCCTGTATTTGGTTGTTTCCTTTGCTGGTGCTGGAAACTGGACAGAAAGTTTTCATCTTTCCTGTAAATGGTGTGTTCATGTTTAATGTGGGGGTTTGGTGTTTATCTTTGTATTGTGAAAGGTGCTTGCTGCTGAACCAAAGTCCGTGGAGAATTCTATAAGGTGTGGAGGTCTAGCCCCAAGGAAGACTTCCTGCATTATGAACTTACTGAGCTGTTTGCAGGAGAGGAAGGGCAAATTGTGCTTGGAATATTTGCGGAATCTATCAGTTGACGAAGTTAAAGCTGAGCTCTCCCTTTTTAAAGGAATTGGCCCCAAAACTGTAAGTTTCTTAGTGTACAGATGCCTTATGGAATGTTATGGGGTTGGATCTTCAAGAATGGAATTGTCCAAGTGGCGATTAAGTACTAGTAATAATTTGATTGATGGCCATTGCCCATCCATGTAGAACATTAAGTCCAGGATAAGATTTAAGATCTCATTTTAGAAAACAATGAAGTTTTGAGCTGCTTAGAATTGCCCTGCAAATTTAAGTTCTTTGCAATCAATTTGTCCAATAAAGGTTCTTCTAAATAGTGATATTTCTTACACCCGAGGCGGGTCCAGAAGACCAGAACGAACTTGAACCTGTTGTCCATTCATTGCCAGGGAAAAGAGTATTAATCTTGATTCCTTTAATTCTGGGTGCCTCCTAAGAAACAGGTTACGATTGCTTAATGATTGCAGTAGTGAAGTTTAGTTTATTGCTTGCACTAGTACTACTGGCTATAAATGCCACCTGGTTTTCCTGTTTTCAAAGAAGTACATGGAAGTAGCTAGCCGATACAAACTTGGGATTGACATCGTCAACATAGGTTTTTGAAACTGTACCTTCTAATCCAAGAATTTATCATGTTTCCCTCATTTACTTTCTTCATCATATTACCTTTTCTCATTTCGTTCATTGGGTGTATGCCCCTTTTTCTTTTGATCAGAATATATGCCTCTTGTTTGTCAGTCCTTTACCTTGCTAGATGTTCCAGTCTCATGTAAGTATATGTGGCTCTACTTGTTACTTGGGAAGTTTATGTGAGTTGAACAAAATGGCAGGTAGCTTGTGTTCTAATGTTTAATCTTCAGCACGATGACTTCCCAGTGGACACACATGTGAGTTCCATTGCTGGATACTTCAATATTAATCAAGTTGTTTACAGCAACTTTTCTGATTGGTGTTTCTACCCATTCATAAATTCTGTACTTAGGTGTTTGAGATTGCAAAGGCCATTGGCTGGGTACCAGGTGAGGCAGACCGGAATAAGACGTATGTTCATCTTAATCATAGGATCCCTGATGAGCTCAAATTCGATCTGAATTGTCTTCTATACACACACGGTAAGCTTTGTCAAAGATGTACCAAGAAAGGGAGCAATCACAAGAAGAAGGAATTGAATGATGGCTCATGCCCTCTATTAACTTATTGCAACTTCACTGTAGCCGCAGCTGACAAGTGAGATCGTTGCATTTTCCATATAATATGACTTCCTCTTGTTTCATTGCCGGATAGGGTGAGTAATCCATCCAGTGTACATTACCTGTTGAAATATTCCGATTACTTTCTAGATTTAAGACTTTTCTGGCCAAAACATTTAGAATAAGACAGTGGGAGTACATGTAGAAATATAGAATATCAAGCCAAGTTTCGGTTAGGGTAAGATAGGATCTTGCTGATTCTATATTCTTCATTGCTTGGATCCAACATACCATTGTTCACATAGACTTTCAGAAAAGAAACATTGTTTAGTACAGGAAAACCAAGGACTATTTGATGTTTGAGGTAAGACTGTAGAGATGGGTATAAAAGGGAATTAGATAACTCACATTCCATTTATATAATGTAGCGAATATTGTATGTTATCATCATCCAAGAGCCCTACAAAAAACACTAAGGTTGATTGTGCTATGCTCCTATGCTAATAGATATATGCTCATGGGAATACAATATTAGCTTTGTGCAAAAAAAATGTATATAGGGATACACACAGATCTTGTTGATGTCCCTTCACCTTCCACTTTGTTATATCTTAGTTGAGCAACTAATAGGTATCTTCAGCACATGAAGCTTTAGGAACTGTTACAAAAAGGTATCATGAAACAAGCATTTGATACTGGAAAATGGCCATAATAGCTGATGGTGGCACTGTTTAGTGGAAATTGTTTTCAGCTTAGTGGCATCCCAGCTAGAATGTCCACACCAATTTGACTTCCAGGATCACCTCAAATTTGTATAGGACATATCTCCTTGAGCTGTGTGTTTGCGCATCAATTTGCTCAAGTTGTCCGGAAACATTCGAAACAGTAATGGCTTGGAGGGTTTTGGACTTCGATTTTTTGTCCTGTTTCAAATAGAAGATTGAAACTGAGTCTCCTTGATGTGGAAAGATTAATGCATACTTAGTGCAGTTATATGATCCTTAGTATTATATACAAGTTTCCTAACAGCCAATTCCTGAATAATTGTTTTGTATTCTCTCTTTGCCTTTTGGGTGTCTTCTTCCATGACTTTATGCTGTTCAAGCACCAAGTTTTGTTTTTTACAGCCGTGATTTGCGTCATGTGATCCAAGTCTGTTATCTATTTATGGCATAGAATGATTTTCTCAGTGGAGATGTAACAGAACTTCAGTTGGATTGTATTGTAAAGACTAAACACAGTGTAGTGCTGCTACCCTCTTTGTTTTTTTTTTGGGATCTAGTTAGTTGCTTGTAGTTTAAGATTGCTTATGGAGGTGAAGCTGTTGAAGCTATTTGGCTTTGAGGTGAATCCTCAAATTAAGGATGAGAAACAGCTCAAGGGCTCTAATGAAGGAGCTGAGAGTGGGGAATCTGCAAGCTATGAAGTCTTACCTACTATTCTAAAAGAAGCAGAAGAAGGAAGAGACTGAAGAAAGAAGATCGAATGCCAGTTTTGCTTCAAGGAGTTCAAAAACTCTCAAGCATTAGGTGGTCACCAGAATGCTCACAAGAAGGAGAGACTGAAGAAGAGAAGAATTCAACTGCAGCTCTCCAACTTATACCTCGAGTCCCTGCAGGGTCATACCAATCTCATCTACTATTAGTCTCTTCCATGGATTGATTCTTTCTGTTTTGCTCCCCTCAAGGAGCCACTGATTAGCTTCAACTCGACGACAGGTCAGAACCGAAGTTCACTCAGGGGTATGTCATCAAATCTTTCTGAATCTGTTTATGTGAAACCTGGAAGTAGCACTGTGATCGTGAGACCTTCCCCATCATATGTTTCAAACGATTCTCAGCGTCTCTATGTTCAGCCAGGCCTTGCACAGCAGCCAGCCAGGCACCAGCAGCTCATCTGGGAAATGGCTTGTGATTTTCTGCTGGTGCCTGAAAAATGAAAACTTCTAGCATGTGTTTTTCTCTCTACCTATGCCAATGCCATTGTGATTACAAATTAATGAAATGTTTGTCTGCCGTTTCCTTTTTGGATCGTAAGCCGTAACAGTGAAATTAGTTTTCGCATGTAACATCGTTACAGAATACATTTTAACCAAAGTACTTACAGATAACATCAAATTAAACTTTACATCAGTTCACTGTTTCCAAGTTTTTCTAAAAGTGTAAGGTCCTTGCTCAATCAAAGCACACAACTTTGTGCTCCAGTCTGGATTCCCTGTTTAGGGCAATTAAGTCCTGACCGTGTTAAACACGTCACACCTCCTCCTGATGTTTCCCTCATCCCCAGTCTTGACATCGATCGTCCCCATTTTCTGCATGCCCTCGGCGAAATCCACGAAGAAGGCGGTCTGGTTCGCGGCGTAGCGCTCCACAAACGGCCTCGTCCTGGGATCCTCGGCCATCATTTGATCCGTGGACAGGAGTCCCAACCCCTTGAGCAAGTTCTGGTAATACATGTTGTCGAACTTCCCCGGAGTGTACAAATCCAAGAACGCCGACATGGTTGGGTCCTTGGTGTAGTTGGAGCAGAACTTCTTGAGCGCCTCCGCGTATTTCGGGTTCATGTCCGGGTCCGTGGGGGTGCTCTTGTCGTAGTGGTAGAGCCGGTCGGCAAACTCTGAGCAATGGGCGAACCCGAGGGTGTGGGCCCCAACCACCGCCACCATCTCGTGAACCGTGAACCCCTTGGACTCGAAGAGGTTGATGATGTGGTCCATAGTCATGTTGGGCTGGGGGATGTTGGGCTCCACGTCGTTGAGCTGCGAGGCCAGACTGTCCTTACGACCCAACAAAACAGGGTAGTTGGGCCCTCCAACCATCACGACCAGGTCGCGCGCGACCTGGGCCAGGATGTCGGCGCACGAGACGGTCATGGGGCATGCCAGCTCCAGGGCCGTCTTGGTCCGGGTGACGACGTCGAATCCGTCACCCGGCAGGGTATGGTCGAGCTCATTGTCTCGCTCCACCTTGTTGAACTTGTTGGGGGCGATGAGCACCGAGGCGTCGCATCCATCGACCATGCAGTCGTGGAAGAAGATGCGGAGGGTGGCCGCTGCCGTCGTTGGGGTGGCGATCTGTTTCGTGGTGACCGTCTCGGTCACGATATTGGCGAAATCGGGGCACGTGGCTTTGTAGTAGTCGAGGGAGAGTTGTGGCTCGGAATGGGAGAGGAGAGGGATGGAGAGGAAGATGATGAGGGAGAGGAAGGGGGAATTACTAGTTGCCATGGTGAGGTTTCTTGGTGGGGGGAGGGAGAAAGAAAAAGGAAAGGCTTCTTCTTCTGTCTTACTTTCCTTTTTCCTTCTCGAAATTGTTTCTTCCTCTTTGTGATTATTTGATGAGTGGGGGAGGAGAAGGAGAAGAGAACATTGAATGTGAAAAGAGGTATGGATGAGAGGGATTGTAGGGGAAACAAGGATTGAAGGTGAACATTGAAGTGTGATTTGTTTGCATGTTATTTCGTTGTGAAATCTGTCTTTTTTTGTTTAACATATGATTTAGTATGCGGCTTTGCTTTTTTTGTTCTTTTATTTTTTGCATTTCCAGATGGATTTTGTTAAACCGGTCGTGCCTCGTGCCCCTTGTTTTAGAAGTATCATCGGTGAAAATCGGTTCTCATTAATAGTAGCTTGTAAGACCGTTTGTAATTTTAGAACTTTAATTGATATGATAATTCAAAATTAGATTTTACATATTGCACAATTTTCGGTCATGAAAACAGTGCAACTCTTTCTAAACGATTGAATATAATTGAAAATGTAATGACAATAATTTCATCTACTTTTAATGATAATGGAACAATATAATGTAACATTGTTCCAGAGGTGCTATGCAAATGATGTGACTTGTAGCAATAGTCCAGACAACATGTTAACCGACAACGTCAAAGAATGAAACGGAAATGACTATTGTATGTATTTCTTGAAAAGTAACTATTATTGTTACAAATATGAATGTCTTGGCTATACATATGTATTTTGCCAAAAAAAAAAAACCATCAACCCATAATGTCATAAACATTTACATAATGTCATACGGAGACACGATTGTCTAACATTTCCCCTTCTCCCCCTTCTCACTAGCGTTCAAATTTTAGATCTGGAAGGGGCTACCGTCGGCTTCCTTTACGGGACTGGCGGTGGCCCTGGCACCGTTTTTTCTGTTGTCTTTTTTCGTTTCCTTTTATGTTCTGTTTCTCGCCTATAGTTGGGCTTCCTTTTATCCTTTTCGTTTGTTTTCTTCTCCATCCTTGTGATGATGTTGCTCTTGCCTCCCCGTGGAGATGCTTTTGCTCCCCACCAGATCCCAGATCTGTGTGGATGTTTTTCTGGTAGGTGGTTGAGGGGTCCAATTCTCGTCGGTTCGTTTGCTCCTCTCTTATCCTTCATCCTCCTCCACTTGCTTCATCCATAAATGGGGATGATTCGGAGAAGAAGGGACATTTGTTGTCTTGGATGAAGTTTCAGGGAGCTTGTGAGCAGGGATGCACTTATGAGGACGTGATCAGTTGTTTGCTCGGATTGTGGTGGTTTTGACACCATTCATCCGTCCTTGGACCGAGATTGGCTCTCTGGTTTTACTTGTTGTGCAGGTGGAGCTCGGAGTCTTCTTTGGGACTGGTTCTCCTCGCCGATGGATCTACTTTCCTTCCTCTTTCCGGTGCGTCTTCGGTCTGGGGGTGTTGCCGGTGCCTTGAGTGGTTTTTGGCTTCACCATCGTTCCCCGACGAGTTTCTTTGAGAAGGAAGGAGGGTGAAGGCGGCTGGTTTCGGCGGAGGGGGATGCAAGCAGCAGCCGTCCTCATGGTGTTTGGACCAACGAAATAGGGTTACTAGGGGTGGGCTGTCCATGTTATTTTTGGATCAGGATTTTTTGGGCCTTGGTGGGCCTCCGTTAGTTTTCAATCTTATTTTCGTTTGGTCTTTTCCTTCCTTTCAGTGTTGTACAAACTCTGTACACCGTGTTTCGTATGAATGAAATGACCATTTCCTTTTCAAAGAAAAAAAAAGAAGACACGATTGTCTCTACTCTCTGGTGAAATGTGGTTAAGAATGAAGGAAGAGACGTGATTCTCAAAATTAAGATTAAGACTTAGGTATTATTGTGGTCGTTGGGAGAGTGGTTGAATGGGATGCTAGCACGTATTGATAAGTCGGTTGAGCCAACGGTTTGGTCCGGAAAACCGCAGTCTAGACCTTACCAGATCAAGAAATCTAAACATCATATAATACAGACCATGGACCAGGCCATATTTAACGGTCTCCGGTCCAGACCAAATTGTGCGGTCGATTTTGACCATAATTTTTCAAACGGTCTGATCTATTTTCACAGCTCTAAGGATACTACCCTTTCAAGTAGGAAGTAGGATTGTGAAAAGAATAATGACACAATGAGTTATTGAGTGTAAAAAAGACCAAATCAACTAACCCCAATAGTGTCACGGGTTACTAACTAGAAGTTGATACTCATCTACACAATAAATAAAAGCCAAATGAGAAAATTTGAAGCCCCATTTCAAATTTCTTGCATCGAGAGTGAAAGTAGGAAGGACATTTTAGTCTTCACAATTACTTTTTTTTTATTCATTAAAATGACACTTACTAGGATTCGAACCATGGCCACTTTAAAGAAAAGCAAAAATCATAACCAATCACACTAAGTACATTTGTTATATCTTTTTTAAATTAAAAACATATAATCGCAGAGAGGAAAAAACCCTTTCCCCATTTCAAAATCCCTGCTCCAGGAGCGTTTGTAGGAAGGGTAGAATAGGGAGTGTAAATTTTTTTCTTTTTCCTCTATGGAACGGGCCAACTTACCGTACACATGCAGATTTAAACGGGTCCAGGAGAGTCAATTTTTTTCTTGAAGTCCTTTTATTTCTCCGTGGTGGTAAAATATATATGAAAAGGCAAAAACAATACTCCTTTTTATTGCTAAAAAGAAAAAAATTAACAATAAACTAATGCATGGATTCTAATGGGCTAACCGCTAATCATAAAATTAAAGAGTTGCATGGGCCTGACCTACACGGGATTTGCCCATCAAGTAAAACAAATGAACATCATGGGTTTGCCATTCTAAAACAAGCTATTTTCTCTAGCATAATATAAATTATGCTATTATTTTATATTTTAGTTGCTAAAATATAATGTATTTTAAAGTTATTCAATGGTTCAACCTCGACCAACCCAATTAGTCCAATTTTTATCATTTCAAATATATGTTATGTAATTCATAATGATTAAATTGTAGTGTATATTATAGGGAATCGTTTGGTATTTGTTAGTAAAAAACTAAACAGAAAGATTTATTTGGTTGTTTCCAATATTAAAACGATCCTAAACATTTTCAGTTTTCTTTAGAAATTCTATAGTTTTATTCCCGAATCAGTGATGTGCAAATGGCGAATTGCAGTAATCTCTTTTCTTTCATTATTTTTTATTTTCAAGTAGAAAGTTTAAAAGGAAAGGATAATTAGAGTTTGGCATGGGTCGGTCAAGCAGACTGAATTTCAAGTTTTGGCCCGTTTTAATCAAGTCTAATTTATAATCACATGGTTCCCTGATACCCGATAAAAATCTCAATCCAAACTGGTTTGGCAGGTGAGTCCGTGTTTACCACCATTTTCTAGGGATACAGTAACGGTGGTTCCTATCCCAAACCGTGTTGTTCATTCTTGATTTCTTTAGATTTTATCATGGATTGGCAAAAAACCAGAAAGCACAATGATCACAAAATGAAAGTTTTATAAAGCAAATTAATCGGCCAACGGGCCAGGTAAAAGCTAGCAACGATTGTGAGATGCTCATTTCCCGAAAATCGGCAGGATAGGCGATTTTTTATTCGATTTTCTGGAATTCGGTTTCTATAAACTTACTCCACCTCATCATATTACCAGAAACAATAAGCTATACACCCATTACATTATCAAATTTCATACTTCACCTTCCTCCAGCCAAATGGCCGGGGCCCACGCTAATTAATTAATATATATTAAGGAAAATACCCTTGGAGAAAAAAGGAAAATACCCGTTATTGTTGCCTAAGAGAGCAATTAGGTTGTGGTCATTTTTTAATATAATAAATATATAATTAACCCTATTAACCGGCCTCCTCCACATCTATTTCTCTTCTCCGAGCCGAACGGAGACTCTCCTCAGATTCCGCCGCTTTCCCGTCGTTATCCACCTTGCCGTCACGTTACCTCACCAGCCAGCTACTTCTCTCGGTTTCCCGCCTAGTTCTGGTTTGCCGTCGAGTTCCGTCAACAACAGCATCGCTCCGGCTTCCGGCGCTGATTCCGTCCTTTTCCCTCTCCCGTCGTTGGCCTGTTATCAATGGCTTGTCGTGGAGTCATTGAAGGCTTGAGCTTCAGAGACATCACAGAGAGCGAGAAAGATGATAGAAAGGAAGAAGAGAAGGTGATTTGGGGATGACGTAGTGCAAGGGTTTTTTTCCCGTCGGAGGTGGGAATGAAGAAGAAAAGAATTGGGATATCTTTTGAGCGTCTCATGAACTAGGGGTGGGCATTGGTGCGGTCAAACCGCTCCGAACCGCACCGAACCGCTGTTACGGTCGAGCCAAACCGCACCGTTAATCTTGCGGTTTAATAAGCGGTCTGAATTTTTAACGGCTCGCGGTTCGCGGTCGGATTAATCCGAAACCGCGCGGTTGCGGTTCAAAACCGTAAACCGCTAACTAAATTCTCTCTCGGAATTGGAAGGTCGACTTCCACCATCTCCCCCCATCAGCAGCGATCCCAGTCAGCTCTTAGTAGCCAACCTTCAGAACGACACCCAATAGGTTCAATCAACAGAGATCTAACAGGCACCAACAAAGCACTGACTTCCCAATGCCGATACTGTACACTGAACTCCATACACTCCACACAAAGAGAGAAGATGATCACAACCCTGACAACTTCCAATGATGGGGATAAACAGCACACCAATCCAAGACAGCAAGGTGAAGGTCCGAAATTCACCGCCAGAGCTATGGAATTTCAAAACTTCCACAGGGTGGGAAGAAGTGAACAGTTGAAAAGAAACTCACATAAACGAGAGGAAGAAACTCCCAGAAGCGAGAGACACTCTTTTGTTTTAAATTTTTGGATTCTGCTTTGGTGGATTTATGTTTCATTCAACGTAATTCATGAACATTTGCCAAGTTACAGTTTCATTCCTTCCGCCAGTAGTCATCAGCATAAGGGGTGCTCTGTTTCGGCG